GTCAGGTATGTGTCGTAAACAGCGTGTTGACGGAGATGAGCTGACAGGTCCAGAAACAAGAGGGCAGAGTATTTATAGTTTCCTCATGGAGAGTGCTGCAACACTTCATCCTGGTTCATATCATTCTGGCTCAGGTAGCAGAGTGGAAGTCCCCGTTAAACTGGAACCAGGTAAACAGCAATATTCTAACTGACCTCAGCACTTTGTATCTGGTTAGTGAGTCCTTTACTTGTTCACATTGATCTTGAGACTCTGTTAGCAGGGTGGTGCCTGACCTGCGTGGTTCAGCAGGAAAAAGATTGCATTTTTTCCTAGAAATCAATGTTTATAAAGTGGAATTTCATTTAAATAACAAAAAGACAGATTTCCTTTCACTTTCTCTTTGTGGTATCTAAGCATTTAGGCAGTTTAGATTATATTTACCGACTTCTTGAGATCTCTACCTCCACCTGAATGAAACCTAATTTAGATTGATTCATAAAATGACATCAACAGTTCATCCTGGTACTTTTTAACCTCGTTGCAGAGTGGAGATCCCCGTTAAACTGAAACCAGGTAAACAACAATATTCTAATTTATCGTAGCACTTTGTATCTGGTTAGTGAGTCCTTTACTTGTTCACATTGAGCTTGAGACTGTGTTAGCAGGGTGGTGCCTGACCTGCGTGGTTCAGCAGGAAAACGATTGCATTTTTTCCTAGAAATCAATGTTTATAAAGTGGAATTTCATTTAAATAACAAAAAGACAGATTTCCTTTCACTTTCTCTTTGTGGTATCTAAGCATTTAGGCAGTTTAGATTATATTTACCGACTTCTTGAGATCTCTACCTCCACCTGAATGAAACCTAATTTAGATTGATTCATAAAATGACATCAACAGTTCATCCTGGTACTTTTTAACCTCGTTGCAGAGTGGAGATCCCCGTTAAACTGAAACCAGGTAAACAACAATATTCTAATTTATCGTAGCACTTTGTATCTGGTTAGTGAGTCCTTTACTTGTTCACATTGAGCTTGAGACTGTGTTAGCAGGGTGGTGCCTGACCTGCGTGGTTCAGCAGGAAAACGATTGCATTTTTTCCTAGAAATCAATGTTTATAAAGTGGAATTTCACTTAAACAACAAAAAGATTTTATTTCACTTTCTCTTTGTCTAATCTAAGCATTTAGGCAGGTAAGATTTGAAATGCCCACTTTTTAAGATCTGTATCTCCTCCTGAATGAAACAGACGTAATTGTGTTTGAATAATAAAATGACATCAACAGTTGCTCCTGGTATTTGTTCACCTGGCACAGGTACCAGAGTGGAGTTCCCTGTTGATGCCCGTCAACACGTCACTCACCCCCCCCCCCTGCATCACCTTATCTCTACAGCTGGTGAACATCACTGACACTCAAGCTCTGGTCACACTGAGGGTCAGCACATTCCTGCACCATGCATATGGAGGACCAGAGCTGCCATCGTTATACATACAACTAAATATATATACATGTTTCTATTTCTGTGCATGTTTATTTATTTATAAACCGATAGCAATGAATATCTGAAGTGCTTTGAAGCCGTGGCGCTGTAAAAAGCTCGACCAATCATCTGAGCCGGCTAAAGTAACTGGATGGCCTACCTGCCTGCCAGCCCTCCATCGGGGCACAGACTGATCTCTGCCCTCATTGGTCATGTGCGCGTTCGTGTGTGTTGGGGGAGGGGCTCTGTGAGGAAGTGGCAGATTGTTTCCGGCTGTGTATTTTCAAATTCTAGCCACTCGAGCTGCTTTCTCCAAAACTACCTACCCCACCTTTAAGCCTTGTATTTTACAAAATGTATATATTTCTGTATTACAAACTTATAATAACCTGTCCAAAAAATATTTCTGCTGATGCTTTACACAATTAATAAAAACACTTCACTGACTTTTATGATTACAGGATATGCAATGTGTTTATTGTACATTGAGCGCTATTAGCTTCCAGATCAGGTCATATTTCAGCAGGTAATGCATCACAGGGAGGGTTTCTTTCTGAGAGACGATGAGCTGCTCAGCAAAGCCACTTCCCACGGTCACAGACTCATGACGTGTGCAGCAGGAAGTCACAGAGCGATGGAAAAGGCAAATGATTGTCTGACCTCGTCACTAAAACAGCAGCCGTCTCCACCAGTAAGAAAAGGGGAGTAGGAAATGATCCAAACACTTGAGTATCGTAATGTAATGTTTTGTGAAACTGTAGATTTTAAATGTTAACAGACAGGAGCTGATTTCTTGCCTCAGCAACATAACAACGTAAAGTTTCATTTGAGAGACAAAGCTTCCTTGATGCTAAAAGTGTTCTCATCCTTGGAGCCATTAAAGGGTCCAGGAAAGTGGAAATGGAAGACGGTGTGAAACCAGCAAGAGCTTCTCAACATCACATGCAGAGGTCACACAGACCAAGGTTCATCTCTGGAACAACAACGACAACCAGCAGAAGCTAACAATCCCACTTCATCTGCCTTTCTCTAAACCTCCCAACGACCTTCTCGATACAGAGTGTCTCCTGCATCCTCCAGCCATCCAGCCATCCTCCCGTCTGTTGGCAGACTATTGAACTGCTCTGTTGACCTGCAGCTCCTTGACTTCGTCCCCAGGCTGTGTGGTGAACATGAGAAACTCAGCCGAGAAGAGACGACTCAGATACTCCCAGCATCAGCTCAATGCAAAAACAACGTGTTCAATGTTTGCTGTGATATATTTACTCAAATTACATCAAATCGAAAATGACAGTTGATCTCTGAACCGCAGGAGCTTTACATGCCAGAGGAACAAAGACTATTTACTTACGTTAAGAAACACAAAAACCACAGGAACTTGAATTTGTATTCTTGCACAAAATATATAAGTTGAAGCATTTCCTATGACCCGCGTCCTTTCCTCTCAGATGCATCACTCAGAGGATGGTACAGTATAACGGCCCGTCCACACAGCGGCGTGCGTTGAAGCTTGCCGGCGGGCGTGTCTGAAACTCGACCAACAACCAATCACATGGATCTCCCGCCCCGGACACACAAGCAGCGGTTTGATTGGCTAGAGCTTGGACGGGCATATGATTCGATTGGCTGACGCTTCTGCCGAGGCGTCAAAAGTTGAACATTGCTCAACTTTTACAGCGAGCCACGCCAGCAACGCTCCGCGTCGCTTCCCACAATGCAGTTCGGCGGAAAGTGACCTCACCCCATTCAAAGTGAATGGTGAAGCGTCAACGCACGCCGCTGTGTGGACGGGCCGTAAAACCCAACGATATACAGGACATACATAACTAAATATGTATTTTCTCTCGGTCGTTCTATTAACATCAGCATAAGACATTCAACATGGAATCCTCTTCCGGCGCCTTCACCAGCAGCTCCTAATCAGCGCTGAAGAGTTTCTACTTTTACCTTATTATTTATGGTCTTCAAACGTATTGGCGTTTTTTGTTATTGTTTGCGTTTTCACCTGCTATGTCACTGTACGATTCCCCTGACTCTGATTGAGGGTCTTCATGAACCACAACCCTTTCTGTTGATCTCCAGCTCTTAGTCTGTACTGTCAGGAGAACCCAGTCTGTATGGTGAGCATGGGGAACTCACTCCTCAGATACTACCAGCATCAGCGGAGAGAAAAAACAATGTCTTCAATTTATGCTGTGCTGTATTTCCTCAAATGTCTGAGCCTCGGGAGCGTGCGTGCAAACAGCAGAACTGTCACAAGTTAGACACTTCTATTATTGTTTGTTTGGTGGCTCATCTAAACTCTCCTGTCATTTCAGATCCCGCCTTCCTCCAGGCCCTCGTAATGAGCTCACTTCCCTCACCTGGTCTCCCCAGCCCTTCCCCTCACCTGTTACTCATTCCCTCATCACTCCACAGTATTTATACCACCTCACTATCACTTGTCCTTTGACAGAGTGTCTTGTAGTTTCTGCCAAGCTCTCCAGTGAGTGTTGTGCTCTAGCCTTGATTTTTGTCCTGCCCGGTTTTTGACCCCTGCCTGTTTACGGATCTCGAGTTCCTGCCTGCTCCCTGTCTGGTTTTGGTTGCCTGTCTGACGGATTTCCTGGTTTTGACCCTGCCTGTCCCTGACCTGAATAAACTGAACATTGCTACACTGGTTGTATCTGAGTCGTGCTACTGGGTTCTGATCTGTACCTGTGATCGTGACAAGAACAAAGACTATTAACTAACATGAAGATAAAGAGATCTCAGGAACTTATAACAGAAAAGATATCAATGAACTCTCAATGATCCATGTCTATCCAGTTCTGGCTTGATGCTTCCCCTCGTAAATAACAAACCTTTCAGGACCTCAAACACTAAGGCAGGACCCAAATGCAGCTATAAAACAAAAGGTGTAGTACGTTTAACAAAAAGCGAGCTTTAATCTAAAAGAAAACAAGGAACAACTTAACGTTGCCAAAGCAGGGAGCACGAGGAAGGGACCGAAAGACTTCAGGGACAAACATGGAGGGTCACAAGAAAGACCACTGAACATGGAGAAAAAGGGAAGACAAGATCATATACACAGAAGGGGAGGCAGCAACACAACAACAACAACAACAACAACAACAACAACAACCGCTGAACACAAAGAGACACTCAGACACATGAAGGAAGACCAGACACAGGGAGAACAGAATTTAAAAAATAAACCCGGAAACTAAACACACAACACTAAAATCATGACACGGACAGAGCCCTCCACCTGCAGCAGAATCACACGTTTCAAACCACTGCGGTCACTTTGATGAGCTTCCTACTCGTCTCATTGTATAATGACCATCAAGGATTCTATTCCATCAGTCGTTACACCAAACATGTAACCAGTCTGCGTTTGAATGCCAGATGATACGGTAAATCTCTGCCTCTGCGGACTCTGATGTCTCAAGGCCTGAGGACGCATGGAGCGAGCGATGGAAGGGAAAGGGATGAAGGAAGGGATGGAGGACAAAGTGACACAGACACTGAAAAGACGTTATATAAAAAGCCCCTACCTGACGAGAGGGGGGGGGTTTCCTGTGACTCTGCACTCCAGACGGATGGGGCTCCCCTCGGCCACCTCCTGGCTCTTCAGTTTCTGCAGGAAGCAGGGGGGGGTCAGCGGGCTCTGAGATGGAGCAGCAGAGGGGGGGTGATGGAGGAGGTGGTGGTGGTACACTGGAGGAGCGTCAGGACCCCCTGCTGGCTCGCTGGGATGCTCCTCCTCCTGCAGGTGGGAAGAAGTGGAGGACAAATACTTCGTTACTCGACTTAAGTAATAAAGACTTATTTTTTGCTTTTGCTCCAACGTGTGCAGCAGGAAGTCACAGAACGGTGGGAAAGGCCAATGACTGGAGGACTTCTTCACTAAAACCACAGTCATCTCCACCAGCAAAAAAAACCACTTGTTTTATGAAACTGTAGATTTTAAACTGCTCCTGTGGAGACTGTCCACAGACTGGATGCATGTGAATCGCTTTGGATAAAAGCATCTAACAAATTACATTAAATGTTGTGTTGTGTCTTCTTACTTGCTACCCTTTTCCCTCAACCTATCCTAAGGGAGTGCATGTACGTAGACACGTTAGTTTAGCTGCTATAGGCTTGGACTGTTGGGGGGGGCACCTTACTCCGTCTTTCTGGCTGTTTGTACCTGTGTACTCTCATGTTCCCAATAACCCAGCTTCCCCCAAATCTCTTTTTTGTGTCCATATCTACGCCGGGATCCGGAGTCGAGGCTGATCCTGTTGCTGTGGTCGTGTGTCCTGGATCCTCTATCCTGAGCACTGGATCTGAGTCCTGGACTTCGAGTCGTGGCTGAACCTGTCTCTGCGGTCCTGCCAGACTCTCACCATACTACTTCCCTGATGGCTTCCACAAGATTGCTGACATCCTCGTGGATTCATCTTCCTATTACAGACACATGCATTTCCTAACATTCGGTCTATATGCTGTAAAGTGTATTATCTCTTGGATTTACACACGGCATCTATTGCACGTCTGTCCGTCCTGGGAGAGGGATCCCTCCTCTGTTGCTCTCCCTGAGGTTTCTCCCATGTTCCCCTCAAACTGTGGGTTTTCTCTAGAAGTGTTTCCTTGTACGATGTGAGGGTCTAAGGACAGAGGGTCTGAGGACAGAGGGTCTGAGGACAGAGGGTCTAAGGACAGAGGGTCTAAGGACAGAGGGTCTAAGGACAGAGGGTATCGTATTGTCATACTGATATTCTGTACAAACTGTGAAGTCCACTGAGACAAATGTAACATTTGTGATATTGGGCTATATACAGGAGCGTTGGGAAAATACTGAGTGTCCTCTTCCAACATGAGAGTCACTTGATAACAAAGGTATCCCAACTGCAGCTGTGAACATGACAGGATGTGTGATGACCTAGAAGAGCATCAGGACTGTTTGAGGCAGATGATAGCTATGTGATTAACATGATGATTCAGCCTCTATGGAGAGAGACATCAAGCATGCTCATTTCTGACGTGGAGCTAATCTGAAGTAAACATTGAATACTGCTTTCTACTCCTCCATCTTGTGACTGAGTAACTCCCTCTCTTGGATATCAGCATGTGAAGGACACTGTTCAGGAACTAGTTGATGCTCTGTATGTGATGACTCCTTCCATTCTGGAGAGGATCACAGACACATGGATCCTGAGACTGAAGCTCAAGCCGGGGACCAGGGAGATTATTCTAACAAAGAGTATCTGTACTTCTACTTGAGTAAAGGATGTGTATACTTTTGCCGTCTCCTCCTCCTGGTGATGCTCCTCCTCCTGGCGGGGGTTTTGAGGAGGAGCAGGGGTCTGTTTTTGTCCGTGAGGGGTCAGGTACCCGCTGTCCGGAGAGGAGGCGTCGTCGTCCTGGTGGGCGGAGCCTCTGAAGATGGAGGACAGCTCCTCGATGAAGGTGGCGGCGCGGCTGCAGAACTCTGAGGTCGACGCCGCGCGGTCGTTTAGCTCCAGACCTTCATGAAGGAGACGTGGCTTATCCTGTTTATAGACGGGGGGCAAGGGTTTGAGATGGGGGGTGGGCTTCTCCACCTCTCTGGACGTGTGTTTAATGAGGGGCGGGGCTTCAGATGCTGCACCATCACCTTCAGATGGAGAGGAAGCTTTCGTTTGAGGGGTTTCAGCAGTTTTAGAGGATTCTGAGTCCTCTAATGTTCCCCCGAAGGCCTCCAGGGCCAGGTCCAGGCTGCGGTGGATCTCCTCTGCACTCAGGAAGGCCGTGAGGTCAGCGAACCCCTCCTCCAGCTCTGGGTCCAGGTGCGGGCCCCTTCCCTCAGAGGACGCCTCAGGCGGGTTCCAGCTCCCGTCCTGCATCCTGAAACACAGAGAGAGGCTGGTGTTAGCATCATTCAGACAATCACTCAAAACCCACCTGTTCACTTAAAAACACGAGTTCCTCCGTCTTAAGGCTCTGAGAGGTAAACAGTTGGTGTGTATCTTTAGGGCTTTCATTGTGAAAGGAAAGCAGGAAGGACTAATAATAAGTAACATGTAACATGTTCAACACTGCATTCAACCACTGACCCCCCCCCTTTTCTGTTTTTGTTTGTCTCTTTACGTATTTTCTTCGTTTTTGTGTTATTCTCTGTCAAAGCATCTTTGAGTTTCTAGAAAAGCGCTATATAAGTGTCATGAATTATTATTATTATGAAGTACACGCACACACACACACACTCCGATTATGTCAGAAAATAATCTCTGAGTCAAACAAACGTTTCTGATATTTACACATTTAGTTCAGCAGGATAATCTCCACATGTTAACACCACTTTATGATTTCGGATGTAAAAAGCTAACGTTGGGCTATAAAGGAACTACAGCACGGTCACATGACTTCACGTCACCACCGCTGAGCTAAAGGTGGCTAATGTTGGGCTATAAAGGAACTACAGCTAGGTCACATGACTTCACGTCACCACCGCTGAGCTAAAGGTGGCTAATGTTGGGCTATAAAGGAACTACAGCACGGTCACATGACTTCACGTCACCACCGCTGAGCTAAAGGTGGCTAATGTTGGGCTATAAAGGAACTACAGCTAGGTCACATGACTTCACGTCACCACCGCTAAGCTAAAGGAGGCTAATGTTGGGCTATAAAGGAACTACAGCACGGTCACATGACTTCACGTCAACACCGCTGAGCTAAAGGTGGCTAATGTTGGGCTATAAAGGAACTACAGCACGGTCACATGACTTCACGTCACCACCGCTAAGCTAAAGGCGGCTAATGTTGGGCTATAAAGGAACTACAGCACGGTCACATGACTTCACGTCACCACCGCTAAGCTAAAGGAGGCTAATGTTGGGCTATAAAGGAACTACAGCACGGTCACATGACTTCACGTCACCACCGCTAAGCTAAAGGAGGCTAACGTTGGGCTATAAAGGAACTATAGCACGGTCACATGACTTCACGTCACCACCGCTAAGCTAAAGGAGGCTAATGTTGGGCTATAAAGGAACAACAGCACGGTCACATGACTTCACGTCACCACCGCTAAGCTAAAGGAGGCTAATGTTGGGCTATAAAGGAACTACAGCACGGTCACATGACTTCACGTCACCACCGCTAAGCTAAAGGTGGCTAATGTTGGACTATAAAGGAACTACAGCACGGTCACATGACTTCACGTCACCACCACTAAGCTAAAGGAGGCTAATGTTGGGCTATAAAGGAACTACAGCACGGTCACATGACTTCACGTCACCACCGCTAAGCTAAAGGAGGCTAATGTTGGGCTATAAAGGAACTACAGCACGGTCACATGACTTCACGTCACCACAGCTAAGCTAAAGGAGGCTAATGTTGGGCTATAAAGGAACTACAGCACGGTCACATGACTTCACATCACCACTGCTAAGCTAAAGGTGGCTAATGTTGGGCTATAAAGGAACTACAGCACGGTCACATGACTTCACGTCACCACCGCTAAGCTAAAGGAGGCTAATGTTGGGCTATAAAGGAACTACAGCATGGTCACATGACTTCACGTCACCACCGCTAAGCTAAAGGAGGCTAATGTTGGGCTATAAAGGAACTACAGCACGGTCACATGACTTCACGTCACCCCCGCTAAGCTAAAGGAGGCTAATGTTGGGCTATAAAGGAACTACAGCATGGTCACATGACTTCACGTCACCACCGCTAAGCTAAAGGTGGCTAACGTTGGCTAAAATCATGTATCTTTAACATATAAACACAAAGACTTGATGTGTCTTAGTGTTGTAAACTCTTGTTGTTGTTGTTGATGAATGTCCTCTCTTGTTATTTACACTAATGTTTATAACTTAACAGTGTTGCTATTCACTGCTTCCAGCCCGAGGACTACAGCTGTGCTTCAAGCTAACTCTGGTAAATGCTAAGAAGCTGTGCTAATAAATAGTTCCCATGTCATGTGTATTTATATTGACATGTGTTATAGTGTAGCATGTTGTTGCTACTGTGGAGACACTCGTCTGACGCAGAGCGACTCTCATGGCGTCCTGCAGACCGGCTGTTGTTATTTTTAATCCCTAGGGCTATGTTTCACAGCAGCAGCAATGCAGACACACACACACACACACACACACACACACACACACACAGGTACTACTCTTACCACACACACACACACACACACACACACACACACACACAGGTACTACTCTTACCACACACACACACACACACACACACACACACACACACACACAGGTACTACTCTTACCACACACACAGACAGACAAACACACACACACACACACACACACACAGGTACTACTCTTACCACACACACAGACAGACAAACACACACACACACACACAGGTACTACTCTTACCACACACACACACACACACACACACACACACACACACACACACAGTGGAACATTTTGAACGTTGATTGACAGCGCTGTCAGTCAAACTTCCACTTCCTTCTTTTCTCTCCATCATTTTACAAACCTTGTTATGTTAACTTGAATATTGTAATAACAACTTTTATATATGCATTTTCACAGTATGTGTTATATTAAATACAAATAGATAGAGTAACATTTGAAAGACTCAACATGAGAGAAGATACTCTGTTTGAATTAGACTGTGAAATATCAATATATGTGCAAGAGTTTGAGTTTGAGTCTGTGAAGTTTTGTTAGATTATTATCCGTTTCCTTATAGTGTGTGCCTCTTGGTGTTGCCCTGTCCCTTTGCAGCCTTTAAAGTGCACTTTTCCAGCTGTAGGAGGATTTTCTAACAGTATTTGAAACAGCTCAGATGATATAAATCACATTCTCCATGAAAAACAAACCATAAAAAGTGTTTAAAATACTAATAAAACCAGACCTTAAAGATGTCTGTCTGTCGAGGCTGTGAAATATCAAAGAGGCCGAATGTTAGATTATTATCTGTTTACTTATTCTATATATAGGTATTCTGATTTTGATGATAGACTGTCTGCGTCCCTTCTGCCTTTAAAGTGCAGATTTCCAGCATAAACGGATGATCTCAAAGTATCTCAAACAGCTCATGATATAAATCACATTCTCCATGAAAAACAAACCATAAAAAGTGTTTAAAATACTAATAAAACCAGACCTTAAAGATGTCTGTCTGTCTAGGCTTTGAAATACAAATATCATATGAGCAATAGTAGATTATGATCTGCCTTTAAAGTGCAGATTTCCAGCACTAACGGAAAACCTCACAGTATTTCAAACATCTCTAATTATATAAGTTCTGGATGAAAACTCAACCCCTAAAAAGTGTTCAAAATGTAATAAAACCATGTAAACCCACCGTAAAGCTGTGCGTGTCCTCTGCTGCTCCTGGGGGCCAGGCTTGTGTTTCCTGGAGGATAGAGAGGCAGAAAGAAGCGTGTGTCTCTGCAGCCGAGCGGCGTCAGGTCTGTGTTTCGGGTCGTGTTCTCGGCCCATCTGTCCCCTCGCTGCTCGCTGCGTTTGGGCTATATTTGGCCGGGGGGGGGGGGGGGTCGGGTTTCACAGCCAGGAGATTGGCAAGAAGAAGAGAGAGTGTGAGGGAAGTGGAGGGGAACATGTCTGCACAACCAGTTCATCAGAGGCACTTCACACAGGGGGGGTGCAGGATAACAGGGGGGGGGGGGGGGGGGGATATGCAAAAGAATGTATTCTTGTCAGGATTTACAATGAATAAAAGACTACAATATTCATAGCTTCTCTTTCAACCAGCCAAAAGAGTCCCTGAGTGCAGAATGGTGTAATTCATGTTGTGCTTTATAAACGAAGTGTTTTGTTTTCATGATTGGTTTCCTCTGAAGAGAGAGAGAGGGAAGTGGAGAGCAACATGTCTGCACATCCAGTTCATCAGAAGCACTGCAGTAACTAATAGACTCATCAATAAGAGTGGTGAAAGTGTGGGGGGGGGGGGGATATGCAATACAATGTAAAGGTTGTAAGGATTATTTACAATGAAAAAAAGACACCAATACTAACATATTTATGGCTTCTCTCACAGCTCACCTAAAGAGCCCCTGTGTGCAGTATCACATCTGTAATTCAAGTGTGTTGTTTTAATTGTGTTTTTATGTGTTGTTACTCTGTAAAGTGTCTTTGAGTTTCTAGAAAAGTGTTCTATAAATAAAATGCATTATTGTTATTAATGGATATTCATCCATTGATGTGGAAGCTTCAATAAGCTCAGTGGGTTTCTGCCTCTTCCTGCACTCTTTGTATTATTTACTATCTCTTTTAAAACAAACCATAATAAACAGTCTTTCATTGAGTCTGGATCATACATGTACAATATATATATATAGCTTGTTGTAATATTTAACACGCACAGTATGCACCAATCAGCAGAGATGGAAAAAGTAGATCTTGTACTTGAGTAAAAGTAGAAGTGCAGGAATACTTTGTTACAGTAAAAGTCCTGCAGACATAACATGTAAATACTCAAGTAAAGTACACGTACCTCAAAAATGTACTTAGTTACTTCCCACCTCTGCCAATCAGCCAGCATCACACAGAGATATTGAACTTGCTCGTGGATCATTGAATTCCTGTTCTTCAGTGGAGACGTTTAAAGTGACAGCAGCGTTGAGGGGGGGGGGGGGGGGCTATGACCTAGAGACCACCCACTGATCTTACCACAGGAAATCAGATCTGCCTCTTTGGCCCCACGGACCCGCCGAAAGGGCCGAAACCACAACATATGCAAGCAACAGTGTCTGAGGGCTTCTTAAGATTTAATAAACCATATGTTTCATATCCATGTAACGGGAAGAAACTCAAGGCTAACGCTGAGCCTCTGAATTAGCCCTGGGCGAAAACATCTTAACGCCGTTATTACAGAACTCTAGCTATACCGATCGATATACTTATTGGATCTGCACAAACAAGTTTAGCTAACATCCTGAGAGTCCACAGATTATAGAAATATAAGGATCATCACTGAGCGATCAGAACTCACGACAGGGGAAGCAAATACAGACGACACACGAGTAGCTTTAGGAAAACACGGAGATATGCTCACCTTAGCTGTTATTCTGATCAAAAGTCGTGTTCAATGGCATTAAAACGAGAACAAACGCGGCTGAGGGTTAATCCATAGGTTAATCCAATGTGTCTGTCACTTTGAAACATTATTGATAATCCATAATTCAATTTTTATGCAAAAATCGGAGAATAAAAATGAGCTGCTAATGGTAGCCACCAGAGTGTGTCGCAGCACCGGTTTTGGCTGCGCGTCACTCTCACTCCTTATTTGGTAATCTGTGTGTGTATGTGGAACTTTCCCTCGATTCCATTGGCTCTAGCGGTTAAAAAGAGATGTCAATCATCAAAATCGACCAATGGGTTCCAGAGAAACGGCAAAAACGCCCATTTCCACCCAAATGAGCCCAGAGGTGGAGTTTATTTTGATAAACCTCTAAAAAGGTCAAATGTCATTTGTTTTGCATCAATCTTGATACAGGGTACTTATTATATGTTGGACTTTGGATTCCTAAAGCTTTTAGTCTACCTTACCATCATCCAAGGTTAGTTTTCACTATAAGTAAAACAATATTTTTGGACGGACACTATCATTTACATTTTTTTACTATGTTCAATCTGAATTTTCTTTAAAATAAAAAAACATCTCTATTGATTCTGACTCTTCTACATCCAACTCACAGGTTTATCATTACTTTGAGAACAAATATTATTAATGTAACCCTTTTAGAAGATATGGTCATTTGTTCTGGGAAAGTCATTTTGGAGCCTGAGGCCTGAAAACAGGCTCAGGGTTCAACAGGACTCAGTAAAAGTAAAAAGATGATTATAATTATAATCAGGGGACCTATGAAGGATACTGGCCTTTTTTATCAATGCGATTTGTTTGATAAGCGTACCTCCTCTATCTTCATGTCTTTCCTCCTTTCTTCCTAATCAACCCTTGTGATGTTTTGTGATTTTAGGGTTTCTATTATCATCTGGACAGCAGCTAGAGATTAGGCATGTTGGCTAAATCTGCTCCATTCACTGTTTCTGTTCATTAGTGAGGAATCTAAACGGCACCATAACTGGATGTATTTGAGAAGTGGGCTGACTCTGACTAACACATGATTGTAGAGGAAACTTCTGTGTAGCATGCAGTGGAGTCACCGACTCAGGAAGGAGACACGGTAGGAGCAGTAGCTTTGATGTCAAACCACTGTGATTTATTTGGAGTTGGTACCAGAGTATTCACATCACAAATCCAAGAGTCAGAGGTTCTGACTCCACGGTAGAGTTGCCACGTCAATTCTGGAGAGCCTCTCTCTTGCCAGCCCATCTAACTGGTTTCGCAGAGAGTAAACAACATATTTGAGGAGATAGCCTAAACAGTGTGGGAACACAGAGCTACTTGCCTCGGACACTTATGACCTCGAAGATTTTACCTTGGAGTCCACAAATACAGAGAAGGAAGTGTCCCAGTGTACCCACAACACAGACCATCTGTATCCCAGTATTGACCGGTCACAGAATGGGAACAATAACATTATTGGCTAAGCCGCCTGTGTCCTTAAAGAAGGTAAACAGACATCGAGGTTTGTCCTGTATGTTACAAATTGGCATGATAATTGATGATGATAATTATTTCCACAACAATGATTACTACTGTGTAATGTATGTTTATAGATATTTAAGAAGTACGATATAAGACAAGCGCAAGTTTCAGGTGTGGGCCAATTACAAACGGACCTCAAGCCGTAGTTTGGACACCACTGGTTTTAAACTGTGATTCAGCCTTAAGACAAAGCAGAGGGTTTACAGACAGCCTCTCGTTCTATTTCTACTCTCTCTCTCTATCACAGAGCTATTCTGCTCCTCATCAATCTGATGATTACACAGTGATACAGCCAGAAGGAATGCACGCACACACACAGACAGACACAGGCACACACACACACATACACATACACACACACACATACACACACACACACACACACAGACACACACAAGCACGCACGCACACACACAGACAGACACAGGCACACACGCACACACACACACAGACACACACACACACGCACACATGCACACACTCACACATGCACACACAGACACACATACACAGACACACACACACACAGACACACATGCACAGACACACACACACATACCACACACACGCACACACACACACACACACACGCATGCACACACACACACAGACACAGACACACAGACAGACACAGAAACACACACAGACACACACACACAAGCACACACGCACGCACACACACACACAGACACACATACACATGCACACACACACAGAAACACACACACGCACACACACACACACACGCTCACACACACACACATGCACACAGACACAGACACACACACACACATACCACACACACACACGCACACACACATGCACGCACACACACACACACACACACACACACACAGACAGACACAGAAACACACACAGACACACACACACAAGCACACACGCACGCACACACACACACACACGCACACACACACGCACAGACACACACAGACACACACACACACACACGCACACACACACACAGACACATAAACACACACAGACACACACACACACGCACGCACAGACACACACATGCACACAGACACAGACACACACACATACCACAGACACACACACACACACACTCACAGACACACACACACACACAGTATTTAGTGATGACTTCTCTAACGGGTATCTGAGCTGTTATCTATAAGAATAGTTCTGGAACATCCCCAGCATTACTTCCCACTGACGCGCCCCACAATGTGTGGGGGGGACAGTTACTAAGTACTTAAGTACCATTTTAAAGTACTTGTATTTTGCTTTAGTATTTAAATGTTCTTGAGTATTTAAACTTTCTGCTGCAGAACAAAAAAATAAGAAAAAGCTTTTAAAAAAGAAAGATAGAAATCCAAACTTTTTCAGAAAATCTCAGAATTATGAAATAACTCCTTTTCTCTCAGAAAGCAAAGCTTTTCTTCAAAGAGGACCACAAGTCAAGAACATGAGATCTGACTTTAATCTCAGAATCCTGAGAAAAAAATCCAGAAATTCTCAGGATTAAAGTCAGAAATCTGGAAAACAAAAATCCAACTTTTTTCCCGAAACACTCAGAAATACTTCCTTTTTTAAGTGAGAAACCAAAAGTATAAACAAATGAAAAAATCCAGAAACCCTTTTTGAAACTTGATCTGACTTTTTTTTAATTCTGAAAAATAAATTTTTACTTTTTTCTAAGAATTTAAGAAAAGTCAAAAACTTATAATTTCTTCGAACAGAATTAGGAATTACTTACTTTTTTTCTCAGAACACTAAAAAAAAAAAAAAATCTCAGTGTTTCTCAGAATTATCAAATCAAATCAAGTTTTATTTTAGAGCACATTTAAAAACGATTTAGGTCGAGCCAAAGTGCTGTACATGT